AAATCTTATTCACAAATTCAACAAGTTGCGACCTACAATCTGACCTATTTCAGACTACAGCAAACAAACCAGTATAGAAGAAATTGACTGGAACACCTGAAAAAAAGAGATAAAAAAATGGTCCTAGCAGTCAGGGAAACATACGTAAGAGAAGAAAACAAACTCAAACTTAAAGACATTAACCTGGCTTTGGCACAGTGATGTCTAGACTATAAATGTGACCAAAAAAAGATGATCAACTCCCTTACCAACAACTATAAGCCATCAGTCAAAATTGACAGAATTATAATGTCATTAAAGAAGGAGGAGGATAACTTCATACCAGACCAATCCCATAGCCCCTTCAAATACATTATGACGCAACTCCAAAAAATCAAGCAACAGGTGGAAGAATACTATATCCAAGCTTTTAAAAACAAGACTCCAATTTTGAAAGTCTCAGCGAGGCATGAAAGAACCAATATAGGCCAAGACCTTATATAGATTACCAGTGGTTTGATCATCTTCTTGATCATCCCAGCATGGCCGAAATAGAAGATATTCTCAAAAACTTACCAAATAACAAAGCATCAGGCCCTTCAGGTATCCCTTACGAAGCTCTCAAAAAGCTTAAGACCCAAGGTAAAATGTTTCTGGCTAGCCTATTCCATACTTCTCTTACACTAGACATCATTTCAAAATTATGGAAACAAAGCAACATCTATCTAATACCGAAAAAAAAAATTGGTTGGCAGACCTCAGCAATACAAGACCAATAGCACTGATGGAACAACACGCAAATGCTTCACAAAATTGATCACAAACAGGTTGTCCACAGTACTTAAGAAGAAAACCATCCTTAGGGGACCGAACTTTGCAGAATTACCAGGAGAAAGTATACAAGAACCAATCCAACTGATCAATAACATTTGCGAGGAGGCAAGAGAACAAAAAAAAGAACTCTGGGTCCTGTTTCAAGACACAGCCAAGGCCTTCGACACTGTCAATCTTGACATGCTGCACAAAGCTCTAAACAGACTCAAAATTCTCACACTAATATCAGACTTGCTAATTACACTGTTTCAAGGAAGAAGTTTCAAAGTTATAACAGATCAAGGCCTCACAAATACAGTGTCAGCAGGAGATGGCATTGACCAAGGAGATGCCATCTCACCACTCCTCTGGTGAATCTTCTATGACCCTTTGCTCTGCAAAATCCAAGAAAACACAAACACGGGGTATACTATGCAATATACTTGGAAGCCAGACGTTTCATTAGATTAAAGCCAAACACTTAAGCTACAAAATGCAGCAATAGTATACATGGATGACACTACCTGGATATCCCACTCCAGAGCAAACCTGCAAGAGATCTTAAATAACACCAGGAAATTCTACAAAGCAAATGACTCACAAATTAACAGCCTTAGATCAGTCTTACTAAACATAAATAGTATGGAAGAACCAGAAAACAACTTTGTAAAGGCTGGAATAGACTAAGCACTAGTCTGCAGAATGGAAGCCTATGAAACAACACGATTCCTAAGAGTCTGGATCGGAAGCAAGAACCCTGAAAAAGATACAATCTGTCGGATCCAACATGAAATCGACAGAATAATATCAGTATTCAAAAACAAAAGAGCAACAGACAAACAAGCCCTATATATATTCAACAAGGTTCTAATTTCAAGAATCAAATATAGAATACAAAACTGCCATATTTCCCAAAAAGATTGCGAAAAGCTCACAAGACATTATAGAAAAATACTGAAACACAAAGCAGAAGTTTGCAGCACTATCTCCAATGATACTATACACAATAAAGGAATCTTTGACCTAAAACACATATGGAATCTTCAAACAGAATCACAAATTACTGGACTTATTAATAGTTTCAATGACAGGGGAGCTGCTGGCAAATCAACAATAATAAAACTCAAACAGATCCAGCTCAAAAACTGGGAACTGACCAATATCCTCTCAGAGGACATTTCAGACTCCTTTGATAGTAAAGGCAACTTTGCAGCTACAGTCTTAAAGCTAGCCAACAAAATGGGATTCAGATTTTAAAACAAGCTCCTAAAAGATAACTTTCAATGGGCAGGAGACTTCTTTACTATTAAGAATGGACTAAACGATGATCACCTTTACAAAAAGTTTATACAATCACTCAAAAAGAAACAGTTCATATATATAGACCAGCTAATTGACACCGAGTTTAAAATCCTACTAGACTGAAACCTCATCAAGCTAACACTACCAGGCTCAAACAAAAGATACACTCCATAATGGCATAATAAACTCAGAGAAAGGATCACAGATAGCAAAAACTTTAAACTAAATGATAACTGGATAACCAGGCCATGGAAAGAAAGCAATACAAGTTGGTTCAGTAAGGTCTCCCTAGACAAAAGGATCAAGGAGTGGTATGTATTCAAAGATAAACAAGATAAAATCCAATGGGGAAAAATACAAATAAAGAATAACTCAGTGGACAGAACCTTTACACTTTTTCATTACAACTGTATGGCATCTGGGCCTGAACAAACTCTTCTTAAAGCCAGCTATAAATCTACCAATGATCCATATGATCTCCAAACAGACTTATCACTAGAAAGCTCAAACAAAGTCCAAGTGAAAGAAAAGAGAATCTTGGGTTGCAACCTTCTAAACAGAACGCATGGCAACAACAGAACCCCAGAAATAAGAATTCCATACAACCCTTATATACTAGAAAAACAAGTGATGGCAGCATTTAAAATGATATCGGATCATAGGAGGAGAACTAAATTCCAAGAGGTCACAATACTGGATTGGGATATAGACCTAATCAAGAAAACAGTCAAGTCAGAAGATTACAAAGAGGACCTTATAGAAGTCCTGCTTAACAACAAGTATCCAAGGCACTCAAATATTACACAAACAATCTGTCAATATGAATTTTACACAGACGGGTCCCTGCTAAACAGAGGAACAAACAAAGAAGAGACCAAAATAAGTACTGCATGGATTCAAACTCAAGGGCCTATTCCTAATAGCAGATTCCAATGTGAAGTTCAAGACTGGCCATCATCATGTAGAGCAGAGACTACCACCATATTGATAGCGATTCTTACAGTACCAAGAAAAAAGGAAGTTACTATTTATACCGACAGTCAAAACTGTATCAATACCTTTATTATGATCTCCAAAGCCAACCCCAAGCTGACTCACAAAAGATGGCTAAAAATTAATAACTGGTCAATCTGACAAGACATTATAGAAATCACAAGGAAAAAAGACCTCAAGCTTAAGCTCAATAAGGTTAAAGCACATTCTGGCAACAAGTACAATGAGCAAGCAGATCAGCTCGTTAAATAAGCAACTCAACTATCAGCAATCGCATGGCATTTATCAAGTGACAAACACATTTAAACCATCACCACTTGGCACAATAAGATAGTAGACATAACCCCAAAAAACTTTATTAAGAAAGTCAACAAGACAGTGAATGTGAAAGCCTGAATAGAAACCAGAAGAATACGACAGCTCTTAGAACAACAGATTGATCAACAAAGGAGCTATACCTGGAGGCAATTCTGGAGCAATCTAAAACTTAATGGACTGATCATGTCCTTTAAAAAATATAAGAAGAAAAGTTTCTGGATTAAATTGCTGCACAATGAATTATCAATATTAGACAAACTCGAAATAAGGAAGCCCTGGCTTTACAGTACATACAATATTTGCAGAGTCTGTAGCATGGAACCCGAGACAAGAGAACACCTATTTATATGCTTAGAATTTGAAAAACATACCAGCGAAGCATGGTTAAAAGCCATGCAAAGGCTTACAAGAAATCTTCAAAAAGTTTGCAAAAACCCAACATATATACTAGAGACAACTAATTTAGATGCAGTCACAATATATCTAATGCAAAAGATATTTCAGGAAAAAAATGAGAGGCTAAACTTTGCAATTGGACTAATATCGGAGAACCACATCATAGAACTTTGCAAACAAACAAATACCAAGATCTCCCAATTCAAGACCTGGCAACTGTTGTGCAAGACTGCTATTAGCTTTTTCAAGCAATTCAGAAAATCAACGTGGAGATACAGGTGCAGCATTATAATAGCAGCTGATCGGATCATGAGTCTGAACCTAAAGATCAAGAAAGGTCTCGCACCTTTGCCATTAACGAAACTTAGTTCAAATATGAACCTCAGCCTGAAAAACCATATCTCCAGGTCCACAGAAATCAACAATGTCATCAATACCCAGTTATCAAATAATCAAAACAACAAAAGAAAGAAAAGTGAAGAAAAAACAAGGTACAAGATGGAAGATTACATAAATGAACTAGATAAGGTTAGAAAACTAATACAAGAGTTTATAGAAAGTGGGAAAAAATAACTAGCGCTTAAATAAAAACTCAATCTGGATTTATGGCATATAATCTGTAGAGATGATCTGCAGGCTTTGACTCTATTAAACAAATGGGATCTTAATCCCAATTAATGGATGAGCAATATATCATCCCCATAAATCGCATCTAGAGACTCTTTGTCACAGACAGATGAGCTGGATCGGAGAAATTTATATATACAATTTATATTTGTAATGGTTCATTTTGATTTAATAAATAAATGTCACCAACCTGATTGAGGGAAAAAAAAAAAAAAAAGAAATAATAGAAACCAAGTATGTTGAGTTAAATTAAATTAAATTAAATTGATTATTATTATTAATACCACAAAATCAAATTTAGTTTACTCGTGTAACTATACTATTAACAAGTTTCAAATTAATTTTTTTATCAAAACAACTACAAAGTTATAAACTCAATTAAAAAATTCTTTAACAATTATAATTCACTTATGTTATTATACAGTTTATAAACATAATATCTTGACTACAGTATACGATGTGTATAACCCAGGTTCAAAAGTTTGGTGTAACGTAGAAACCAAACCATCCGGGACTACGCCAATAATTATTTTTACGCACCCATTTCTTGTCGATCACAATATCAGACGAATATGAAAAATTCAAGAGTTCTTTTGTTGGCCTTAATAATCCTTGCACTGTTGCAAGTTTTTGTGGGAATAACTGTTGCAGGTACCTTGATTAGTTGTTTTTTCTCTTTAATAATAATTATTGTATGTGAATGTAGTTGATGTGCTTATGTAATATCAAGACGTTGAACTCCTGTTAATTTAAAGATGAGTGGGATGAAGAAGAAAACAATGAAGCTACTGTACCGTTACCGGTACCTGTTGAGGAGTCACCGATAATAGAGGTTGCTCAAGAACCCAAACCTTTAAATATTTTTGGTAAGCTATTGCCTTTTTCCGGCACTCATGTTGAATGATCGTTCTACTGGGAATTGACAATTCATCATTTTATTTACTAGTTCGACCACAATATAAATTATCCGACTTCTATAGGGAGATTTTTGTGATCGTCACCATTGTTACTTATATCCTCAATTATATAATGGGCAAACGGGCAAATGAAAAAATTGCTAGGAAATGGTAATAACATAGAGAATCTATTAAACTTACAATAATTGAAATAAATTAACATTAGTGTCGTTAAATTTTAGGATGGAAACACACTATCAATTATTTGCCGAAAATTTTGCACAAGTTGGAAACGACAAAGGTAATGCACTCATCATGGATGGACCAGCCGATTATCTGTTCTATCTGACCGGCCGTCGTAATTGTCAGTACATTCATGGAAGAATCACGGTTTGGAATTACCCAATTTTTGTTCTTATTCTTTGGAACTTCACTATTGCTTCCTTTACATGACAAACGAAATTTAATTATAGCTTAAGCCAAGACACGATTTGCTTCAAACCATTACGAATTTTATCATGTCGCAATTTAGTAGCAATTACATCGTTGATTCTGTGGTGTGTTTTCTTTTTTTTCTTTTGATTATTAACATTTATCGTTTGTCTAAATAAAACAAATCATATCCTTTTCAGACATACCATGCATACATGAATGATAAAGATTACGATGACTTTGTTTTCGCCCTTACAAAAAAAGAAAAAGCGGGTGATCTGCGAAAATCCAGATACGATCTGGTACGTTTTATGAAATAGAATGAATTTGGGAATTGAGAAATGTGATTATATTGATGCATCATGATAATATTAATATACTAGGGAGATTTCACCAGACAAAGTAATAGTAACTTACTTCCAAATGCGATGAACTTACACAGCGAATCCCTGGAAATCACTGATACGATTCTTACCAATAAAGTCGTGGAATTGGTGAAGACGATTACCAAATACTTGAATGCTGTAATTATTACAGATCAACCACGTATTAGACCTGAGAAGTACGTCCTAGTTTTCAAAGTAGATGCAGAAGTCTAGCATAACAAGTATATTAACCTGTGAATTTTTTATTTTCAATATTATATTTTAATGATTAGATCTATCGAAAATCGACAAAAATTAATTACAATCATAAGTGAGCTGCCTAACTCGTCATCAAAGTTCGAAGAAACAATACCTGTTTCAGAATTACTTATGTTTTTGATTGATTGGGTTCCTTCCAAGTGCACTTTCCGAGGAGAGGTGGAAGAATTTTCATGTTTCGATTCTTTTATTGTTGTACAAGAATTTGCATTTTTTTTCTTATGAAAGTAATATATTTTGAATAAATGCGCTCAAGACCAAGGCCAAAATCACAAAGAATAGAGAAGAGGCCGAGAAGAAAATACAAAAAGGATTAGAATATGAAAGACAAGAGGCCATTCAACAGAAAAAGGCAGAAAAAAAACGTGCAGAGGCTGAACGTGTGGCTAAACTTTCACCCGAAGAACAAAGAAAGGTGAGATATGTCTACATCCATATATATTTATATTTGTGGAAATCCTCTTTTTGATCTGTTGCTGATATTCTTATATGGTTGATTTAGTATGAAGAAAGAGAAAGAAAGAGAGAATTGAAGAAAAAGCAAAAGAAAATGATCAAAAAAGTCTAACAATTTACACGGCTGCTTTTTTTTTTTTTGATATTTTATTAATTAGTTTTATTTACGGTTTATTTGATAGTTTATTTCATGCATCACCTTTTTATAACTTCATATTACAGATGTAGATGGGTCAAATACCTAAAAAAAAAAAAACAAAAAAAACGATAATAATAACATTTAGAAATCCTTGTACACCATTAATATAATCACGTCGTGCATTTCTGCTCTTCAGGGTTTATTAAATTTGGAATGCCAGAAAATGTCAATCGATTTATTAGTCTTAAAGATGATAACTCGCTTTAATCACGTGATATATAAAGACCAGTACGATACTGGGACACTCGAAAGAAGTATGACAAGCCATTATTGACTTCTCCTGTTTCAAAAAAATTTATTTAAATCGACATTTTACGATGTACAACTTTTCAGATGTTAAGACTAAAAAAAAACACAGATATTACACTCGAAAAGTTGCGCTTTCGGCGAATAAAAAATCAATTAAGCAACGCAAAAAGATTAGACTGTCACAAATATTCCATAGAAGGAAGCATTATTTACAAGTGATACAGTCGAAACGATCTAACATTGTAAACCGCAGTTATATTTGATTTTAGAAAGAATCATTTTTTTCTTTTTTGACAAGACACGTGCTACGCATCTTATATACAGTTATCCTCTTGGTCATCTTCTTGCACCTACGCGAAAAGATTGATAGAGAATCAAACATTGTTTGACAATGCGTGATCGAAAAAAACTTTGCTTGCCGATAAAAAGGAGTGAAATATTACAAAAACCATTTGAATGAAATTGTGTGTTTAAAAAGAATAAATAAATAAATAAACAAATGAAATGCAATTGAGAACAAATTTGGGTGATTACTAAAGTCAAGTTCTAGATACATTCTACAATAAAATACTCTGGTCTATTGTGTCTAGATCTAAGTATCAAAGAGATTGATTCTCGGAAGAGAATTCCTGCCATGATAATTAAAAAAAAAAAGTTACCATTAGCAAAGATATTAATTTACCTATTGTACAAAAATTAGTTGAATATAAATAAATAAGATACAGTATATGTATATGTATGTATATACGAATATTAATGTTGGGAAATTTATTGAAGTAGAGGTGGCGTTAATGTCATTTTTATGACCACTCCATCATTGGAACCATATTTGTTTGACCGTACGCCTTCAGTCATGTGTCCTGGGCCCCTCGAACTTTCCCCGCGATATGAAAAACTCTCGCACACACTGCCTTCATCTTCCAGAGACGGATCGATTCTTGATATCAAATCACTGGATGGAGAGTTGAAATTTCTTACTGCGCAGGTCACCGGTGACACTGGCAATGTGCATGACGTGGTTGTTGCTATGAGGGCAGATTTTATCGCCTTCATCTTGCTATTAGGTCTCCTTTTTTCAAACTCCACTTGCGCGATTATGTTCTCTAGGTTTTGCTCCTTTCGTAACCTTTCGGCTTTTTCGAATTCGGTCATTTCTTTGTTATGTGCATTCAGGGGTTCCGAATTGTTGCGCGACCTTCCGGGACTTTTTAGCGGGCTGGCAGGTCGTGAAACTGGTGATACCGATCGTGATGGAGAGACATTCGAAGATCTCGTTGGTGATCGCGGTGATCGCGGTGACAGTGGCGAAAGTCCGAAATGCATTGATCTTGGAGTGGTCGGGGACGGTACTGTGGACGCCGATGATTTATTGTGATCGCGCTTGCCGAATATACTAAAAAAACTATGCTTTTGTGATTTCGGAGACGCAACAGGCGACGTTGAGTTCGTCACGAGCGAATGGGAATGTCCGAGGGTAGCACTGTCCACTGAAAATTTTCTTTCGACCATCGTATCATCAAAATCAGCGAAAAAGTTATATCCTTCGGTCGGAGACAATGTCCCTGGCGTCATCGAGATGAGTGGGGGTCCTGGAGGTGTTGTGAACTTTTTGGGTATCCTTGGCTGTCGATTTTTCTGTGATGTTTTTCGTGAGGATAAATGCTTTGGAAATGGTGAGTCTGATATGCTACCGGACGTGTATGGATATTTTGATTTCCTTTCAGCTCGACGGGCAGAATTACTTTTCGTTCTTCGATTAGCATTTGACCTTGGAGACTTTAGAAAATGTTGATTCATGTTCTTCTTGATCATAGATTCTTCATCATGTCGTTTCACCTTTTCTGAATTATCATTCCTGAAGTTCGCTGCGTTTTGTTCCTTCCTCTTCCGTTCTCGTCTTAGTCTCCGTTCTTCCAAATTTGCATTACTCCCCTTTCTTGTTTTTCGACGTTTAGGTTGTCTTTGTGGAGGTTGTAAACGGCCACCGAACGACATTGATATACTTTGTTCCAACAATTTACGTCGAAATATTTGAGAGGCTCGATTTCCAGCCTTGGGGTCAATTTTTTCATTTAAATTTTTGTTGGCATGTAGCAACAATGGCGTAGAATTGGAATTAGAGTTAGATTTTTGCAGAGTGGATTGTTGGATGTGATGTGGTAGGGGTACGAGGGAGGCATGGAGAAGTTTTGGTGGACGGGGAGGTCCGGGGAGCCAAGGAAGTCCCTTCACCCTTAAAGGCAGATGATCGGCTTCCATGTCCGTTGGATCATTGCTTGTCGCAGGATTTGAAGTTGCCGAAGCTTCCATAGGTAACCGTCGCCTTGGGACTTTCCTGATGGTGGCGCCATTTCGTTTTACTACAACCGTTCGCTTTAAAAGAGATCGCCCAATTCCTGACTTTGATGGTTTTCTTTCCATCGCATGCACCGTATGTATGCTACCTTTTTGTGACAATACTGGGAGCGGCGTCACCGGGGGTGTCATTGGAGGCGGTGTTAACGGCGGCGTTGTTAATGGAGGCGTTGTTGGGGGAGGCGTCAGCGGCGGCGTCCGAGCTCTTGAAAATCTTTTTTTAATATTAGTCTGTTCCCTTTCATCAAGATCAATGTGACGAGCATCCGACAGAGTCCGCATGCTGACGCTCTTAATCTTTGGTGAACTCGACCAAGTGCCGATAGAAGAGGTTCTACCTTGGGTCCTTGGAGAAGGAATGCGAGTCGTGTCACTCAATAATGATTTCTCATCAACTGCGATGGACAACACTTTCTCTCGCAAGTTGTTTACGATCGTCGAAGCGGTGGTCCTCGGAGTGATCTGCGCATCATCTGCATTTTCGCCATCTTGAATTTTTTTTATTTTCGTCAGCCCCCCCGAAAATTTGGTAATATCTATCCAACGAAGATCATGGGCAGAGTGTCCTCTGCTGGCAGCTCCTTCAAATATTTCGCTCATGCGTTTCGGCGTGCAATATAACGATTCATCGCTGTATTCATCGGTTGGACTCTGAGGTGCGGTGGAAACAGTCGAATATTCTTGATCTTCATATGATTCTGCCATTTTTTTTTTTTGTTTTATTTATTTTCTTTTTTCTTCCTTTGGTAAAAAAAAAGGAAGATAATGTAAGAAATTTACTAGGTCGCCACAAATATTTGTTGGAAAAAGGTGGGAGGAAATTCGTACCTTTGTTCTTCTGAGGAAATCCGGGTCAGGTCGGTTGGAACCTGTTAGATATTAAGAAAGTTAATTTAAGTCAGTGGTTCCTCTTGAATTCTTATAATTTCAGGGCTCAATGGGATTTTATTCATTACCGTTCTCAGCTTCTTCAGAAGGAATTGAAGTTCGATTATAATCAATAAAGTCACGTGGATATTTTGAAACAGTTAGCGAAAATTTTTGATAGAACTCATATGAACAAAAAATTTCGTTCGGACATTTCTCGGCTAGATTAAAGAAAGTGTGTAAAAGATACGGAACTGACCAAGAAAGGAAAAAAATACGTCACTGGTGATGTAAATGAAAGTGGTGGTTGAGGATGGAAGAGGGATGTGAACGAGAGAGAGATGAGGAAAATGAATAGTTTTAAAGGGAGAAGTGAAGTGTCGTAAAAAAAAAAAAAAATGAGACAAGCCCGAGAAGAGTGAATTTAGCTTCTGCTTGTAATGTAAGATTGCAGAATTGTTGATCTTCGAGCATCAAAGCACCACATCATCCAACACGTACCAAACATTCGCATTGATATGTAGGTCATGTGTTTTGTTTGTGGTAGAGAAAGTTGAAATAAATTATTAAATTTGTGTAAATTGAATTGATGCACGTCGCGTCATTGGTGTGCAAAATGTACGAGATATCACTATCGCACAAATAACCGTTGACTCTCGGTGTTGAAAGTGGTATTATTGTTCTGCACAATATAATCGGTCGCCTGATTTGTATGATAAGAGAGCTCTTGATATCTTTCAAGATGTCCATCAAAAGAACACGTTCACTCTTGGCATTGAAAAATTTCGCAAGACTAATTCTCGAAGCCCGAAATTCCCTGAAGAGTCGTTTAATTATTTCTAAATTTCAGGGTTGAACGCTACGTGCTCGAGAAGGGTAGCATTAACTTATTCTGGAACGAGACATTAAGCTTAATTGATCATTACCAACGAAATATGCAGACTCTCATGTTTTATTTATTAGAATCCTTGAGATGAGATGCACGTATGTAATCCAACAGATATTCAGGGGTCGTTGGTTTGAAATTCGACCTGCTGGTCGAACAGATAAAACATGTGCATCATAGTCTAAATAATCGGTCAAGTTCGGTACGCGACGTCTGATCATCTACAGTATCCCTTTTCCTCAGTCTCTCCAGCAAGATGCTAATCATTTGGTTTTGACTTTTCCGGCGAGGTTTGGCAGATTGTTGTTTTTTTTTTTCTCCTTGTTTAACATT